CTGAGAGAATTATTTCTTTACAGAAAATAGGGTATCGTCCAGAATTTGATCTTACCGAAGAGGTTGAGTGAATATTAGTCTTACATCTCCATTGAATTGAATGCTTCTGTAAATAATGAAGCACTAGAAATTGTGTTCGCACATCTCTAGGATAAGAATTTCTTCTGATCATGAGAAAATCAAAAGGTAAGGGTTGCCCAATAATAAACCATGTATGAAACGCAGCAATAAGAAGAAGAGAAAACTGTTAATAGCTCTTTTAACTTTCGTTTTTAAAACCTAAACCGAGACCTGAACAGTTAATTAAAAATCTGAAATTTACTGCTTTTACTTCGTTTGTTGTCCCAATGAAGTTCGTGCACACTTGCGATAATAGTTATTTATATATGAGTATGATAAATCAAGGTTTACATCAGCAGCTATAATAATTATCGGCCGCCCTGATGATTTTAAGTGTTTTAAGTTAAATGTGGTCGTTAATTATAGATTGAACACAGATTCCATTATATTACTTGCATTCGAGGACAATGTAATTTTGTTTCAGACTTATTAGTTTTTTATTTTGTTTATTTTAATAATAATAATAATAATGATTTATTGCCCAAACAGAATAAATCCAATAACAGGACAAAATTAAATTAAATTAAATTCAAGTAGAGAGTGATAACTTAATAACATAATTTTTTTTTTATTTATTTTAATTTGTTGCCAGTACGTTCACTAAATATGTATATTCACATTAACAACACGTACGCAAAAATGTGTCACATGGTTACAAATAATAAAAAGTAAAAACACATTAAAATCTAAACATGGACATGCAAATATATAAAATTTTTAGACATAAACAAATGGGGAACAATATATGGAAGTAATAAAAAACACCTAAAAGACTTATTTTTTTCTTAAAAATTCATCTAAGTGATAATTAGTCTGTTTAAGCAAAAACAGTTTAAGTGTTCGCTTAAATCTTTGATAGGACTTGAGTTCTTTAATATTCTTAAATAATTTAAACCAAAATGAACACATATAGAGTAAGTAGATATCATAACCTGTGATTTACAATTTAAAAAATATATGACTTTTAATTTGTAATTAACTCAATAATAGATTTCATAAATAAAATATCACTTGCATTCGAAATTAAATTATAGTCTTTACACATGGTGTATATCGGAGATATTTTTGATTTGTAATTGTCAATTTAAATTACGTGTAAAATTTAGGGGACATCTGGATTTAATTACGTGTTATTATTGTGAAAATTGATCTCAGGTCATTTGGATAAGAGTTACCGCTGTTTAAAAGCTAATTGAGTTCAAAATAAGCGCGTACAGAAAATACAGGTGTGAGTTTATTGTACGACGACGCATTAATTTGTTAAGGAAGAAAGAGCGGAACTGAGGATAGGTAATACTATTTTAAATAGAAGAGACATTCTTTTAATTAATTTGTTCAATCAATCGTTTGTTGCGTGGTATTTGCTTTGGCCCTTAGTGCCTATTTTTATTTCAGTTTTATTGATTATTTGAAACATGCGATATTGTTTGCTGATTGCAGATTTGGATTCAGTAGAACAACACACAATTTTGGTCATTTAACGGCCTTTCTTACTCTGCAACTAAGAAAGTGAGCAATAGTACCGACTTATTTGAAAAAGACTGTACCTATATGTTTAGATAGATGTCGGTTGATGTTGATAGGCAACATTCCTAGTCCGGTACACATTTTCAGTCTTAGTAAAATACGATACGATTTACCAGACTCAAACGAGTTGTAAAGCGGCGATTGCTAGATAGACTGTAATAAAGCACAAAGGAGCTTTTCAGATTCAAGCCATTCGCGTTAAGGTTCCGACCTTTTCTCTAAAGAAAGAATTGTACCTACGCTATTTACTCATAATCGTTTTTTTGTTAAAATCGACAATTAAAGTTTATGTACTAACCATCCCTTTTCATGTTGACTTGAAGACATTTCTTAAAACGACAAGCTTGACACTGATTCCGCCTCGTTACGTCAACAATACAGTGACCATTTTCCTTACATACGTATTCCAAATTCCTAAAATACTTGAAATTTACAGAAGAGTAGGTACACCTTCACACTGTACTGTTTGAATAATGTCTCACCTCCGAATGCTCCGCTTAAAAAATCCACGACATCCATCGCAACTGGCAACGCCATAGTGTTTACCGGAAGCCTTGTCTCCGCATACTTTACAAAAAGATTCGTTCTTTGGTGACGACGTAACAGATTCTTCCATCTGAAAGAAGAACAAAATAATGGTTAAAAAAACAATATTGTACAGGTATAGATAATTTCATCAAATGACAATTTAAAGCTCGTTGTCCATTGCCACCATAGATGGGTACTGCGATGAAATTTATGTAGCAGATACATTGTAGGTGACTAAATTTTAAATTTTCGACCGATGGATACAAATGAATGACAGCGCAATTCAAGAACACATAAATTTGTATGCCCCTGATGAGAATCAGACTCATTGAGGCTCTTGATACTTGATCCAGAGCCAAACCATGAACCCTTTTCCAATTACTGTGGTTTTCTTGCATGTTTTACCTACATCTTTGCCAGGTTTATTTCAGATCAATTTCAAAATATGTCAAATGAATTTCAGTTTAGTTAATTTAATTTCGGAACAGATCAATTGCATGCATTTCAGTGCAGTCAATTTAAATCCAAAACTGTAATTTCATAATTGATTAATTTATTTCACAATTTCAGAAAATATCAATTGTAATCAGTAGGTACCTAACAGTCATTTATATTTCGAAATGACTGTATTTTTAAATACTCTTCATTTAATAATCAAGCCTGTATAAATTGGGAGCAACACAAATTGAAATAAGTATTTATCCAGGAAGATAATAAATAAATATTATTGTTGTCTTTTACCCTAAGTTCTTCCCTTCTTCAGAAATTGATTCATATCGTAAGTTATTCAGTATTTTTCAAACTTTAAAGCTTTGCATTTTGTTGATGGACATCTTAATGAATACCTGACCAATTATTTAAGTCACTTTCTAATTTTTTTCTATTGCCAATTTTTAGATAGTCTCTTTCATTACTTTAAGTTTAAATTCTGGATATAGCAACAGTGCCTCCAAAGTTTAGAAAAACATTTGCAAATACCACCCGCACACGTGCACATGCGCGTTCTACTGAAAAGCTTTTCAGTCCTTCTTTATGTCTAAGAAGTAAGAATATGGGTACCGAATTTAGACAGCACAGGACAGGAACTACCATATTTATAACAGAAATGGACCCAACCTCAAGCGCATAGGAAGTTAAGCAAGAAATATTAAAAGACACCTGGTAACAGATTCCGATGTAGGGATAAAAGCAATAAGCATAGGAACAAACTGCAATAGTAGAGGTTTCAAGGGCGCATACTGAAACCATTAAATCAGGAAGGCTAAGGCTGGGATGGAATTAGTGTAGAGACAGAGTTCATATTATAAGGTGTTACAAATGTCCTGAATATGGACACAAGACTCGTGAGTGTACTCGAATGTGAAAATAAAGAAAGGTGTACGGTGTATAGTGATGAAATAGAAAGCCATTGAGGGGACGGACGATTTTAATGCCCGTTCTGCAGAAACTTGGTGGAGGAGGAACAGAATTAGTCAAGCTAGTGGCCAGATCGGCCCAACTAACCAAAAATGAGTCTTAAGATGCAACAAGCGAACTTAGGGAGGAAGAGGAAAGCCCAAAATTTAGCATATCCTATTGCAAAAGAGAAACAGGTCGGTAGATATTATAATAGTAAGCGAATCGAGTAAACCGGACAACTACGTACAGGACGAAAGAATAGACGGAGCAGTGATAACAAAAAAGTAACAGTAGCAAATATGAAACCAGGGGAAGGTTACGTGTGTATTAACCTTGGACACTGGGATCTATATTGTTATATTTCTCCAAATATAACTAGAGAGGAACACAAATTCAAAGTGGAGGAGATTAAGGGAGTCGAGAGGCTGTCATAGCAGGAGATATTAATACTAATAAGTCACGAGGAGATGAGAAAGTGTGAGAAAAAGGTGCCTTACTGGTGGAATGAAACCATAAACGAGAAAAAGAAATAGTGCACAGTAAAGGGCGTCCAGGACGGAAGAAGAAAAGTATAATGCCAGAGAGGAGTATAATACCGGAAGAAAGGAATTGTGCAAATTACTAAGGCAAAGAAAAGGAGACTGTTGGAAAACACGGTTCCAAGAGCTCAATTTTCGATGTTTGGGGGCAAGGCAAATAGCAGTTAAAAGACTACAAAATTTAGTTCCATACGAAAGATCCGACAAGGAAAAGAAAGAAATAGTAAGAAAACCCTTCCCGACCACAAAAACCAGAAAAAGAAATTCTAGAACACAAATACAGGAAATAGCGCTATTTACATCAGAAGTAATGAAGAAGGCAATAGAGAAAATAAAAACAGGAAAGCCCCCGGAATAGATAACAATCCTCCCAAAGCTATAAAAGAAACGGAAAGTACAAAATATATAGATTGGCCAACAGCGCAAAGGAGGACAGCAATTTTTTTAAAAAAGTATTATGAAAAAAGACGGTTTTGTTGTTAAATGCCTAAAGAGTACCACTACCAAAATTTATGATATGACCTATATTTGGGAAAATGCAATTTGTTAGAAGTAATTTTAGATACGAAAGTACCGATTCCAATTCTAGAAAGACAAGAAATTGATGCAACGTAACGTTTGTTGCATATCATAATTTAAGGCAGTATTAACCCACGAGGTACAAAACAATAATAGAATTTTCATTCAATTATGTAATCCTTGATAAAAATATGAGTATTAATTATCATAGTACTGGTTTTGAGCGAAAAACTGGTCACAAGCAACCAACATTACAGACCGTGAATTGCTAACAAAGTTGAAATGAAAATTGCGGGGGATTCCCGTGTCCTAGCGTTTCGATCGATGTGCGCAATAAATTTCGAGCAACTGTTAGTTCGATTGCGCAACCTCCGGCGAGTGGTTGCGTGCGTGACGCCAATTATTGCACACGCTTTTTCATCATGCCGAAGGACGACATTCAAAACGGTAAACTTGTGGAAGCCGTTCAGAAGTATCCTTTTATATACAATTTCAACTTGGACGATTATTGCAACAGAGATAAGGTTAATGACGCCTGGGAACGTGTCGCAAGCGAAGTCGGAGGAACGGGTAAGTTGCCTGTCACGTTACCTACTTGCAGTAGATGGCACCACAAGGCGCTTTTTACGAACTTACGTGAACTAGTTTGATTATACTATTTTCCAATACTAACGTTTTATTTACGAAATTTGCGATAATATTAACAAAAACGAGACATATTTTGTTACTTTGTGTGTTTCGGTCTGAGAGAACATACCTAATTGAATGAAAATATATTTAATTCTATTGTTTAAATAAGAAGATGAATATGTAAAACCTAAATTTTAGAGAAATACGTTTGAAACATTTTTCCCGTTAAACTTTGAAATATGAGGTTGTTTGAGGGCGGAATGTACGTTAGGATATTGTTAAGCCAAATTTGAGCCTCCCTGCACGTTACCAGAACATTTTTGGGAATTTTGCCGTCAAATAGGCACTCTGCATCCTCCATTTCGAAGAGTACGTTGTCCTAGCAACTGTACCTTCAAATTATTATATTGCTATTCAGCTTTTCACGTTCATCCACTTGCAGCCGAACCCGTATTTAAATTCTGATGGCATGTTTTAAGTGATTGATGTTGAAACAGTTGCCAAAGAGTGATTTTGATGTTAATGAAGTAAATTAAATCCTCAAATTCATAAAGAACTAATTGGAGGTTAAGCTTATATATGACCTGCAACGCTCATTCAAATATTTTAAGATTCTGTTTTTATATTGCAGGTATTACTCACACATCTTTTATTTAAACAAATTTGCCAAACTACAGTCGCGTTTTAATCTATTTTCCAGGTATCATTTGGCTAACGTACAAAATGAGAATACCGGAGGTGGCATCAGGGCCGCATTTAGCCATTCAGCGCCCCTAGGCCTACAAACTAAAGAGCGCCCCCTACCTCCGCACTCTTATCGCACCCCATACACGTCCAGTTGTAAATAAATTATTCTTGATATTGTCAAAATTGTATTTGATTTGGATGGTGTATAAGAATAACGAAAATATGAACTCCAAAATAGTACACAAACACAATACATTTATGATAGATAATATTCACAAATTCTGACCATTTATTAAAAACCAGAAATAATTACATCCTGGTTCATCATGTAGAAAAAACAAAGTAACAAGTACAACTGGTGCAAGCTATTGCCTCGGAACAAAGCGCCCCGCTGGACAAGTTCAATTATTCGCTAAAAGGGGAGTATGTTTGCATATGACCCTTGGCCGCCGGTGCCCGCAACGTAGCAGGAAGATGGTCTGCATGACCACGAGGATTGCGTTGCGCCCTATTACGCTTACGAATAAGTCAACGATTACGGACACGATAAGCGACGCTAGCAAATTGAACTTTACCTAAAGCGCATTCTTTCTTTTGTACCCCTTCCAATTTAGCGCCCCCTAAAAATTTGCGCCCTAGGCCTGGGCCTAGTTGGCCTAATGGGAAATGCGGTACTGGGTGGCATATCAAAAAGTTTCCTTTCGGCCTTCTTTTCTGGCAAATCGAAATTCTCAGCTTACAGAGTCATATTTTACCAATTACTTTCGTCCATCATTTTCAATATCAATATGTAATAAGTTTGTTTTATTTCAGTGAAGTTCTGCAAAGAAACATGGAGGAATTTAAGGACAGTATTCGCTCGCAACTTAAAGAAACCTCACGATTCCAGTTCGAACAGGAAGAAATATTACCTATTCGAAAAATTGCAATTTTTGAAACCGTATCTGAAAGTAAAACAGGAACAACTATTCTTGCAATCATCTAATACTCTTGACGAATTCGAACCGGAAGTCGATCAATCTGCCTCGTCCATCAATGCGGTATCGAGCATGTTTCTGACGACATCCCCCAAGCTTGAAGTGTACGACTCTGAAGGTGAGCAGTTCACTATAATGATGGGAGACTCTAGAACGGAGGATTCCTCCGACATGGTGTTCCGGCTATCCGCAAAGGACGAGGAATACGAGTCAGAAGAAGAACCACCTTCGATGGCGATGGATGAAGATCGTAACCACGAGGATAGGAACCTAGCCTGCGAATCTGGAGACGAGACCGAGCGTGGAAATACTGTTCACAACGAACTCGAACCTAATAGGAGAGAGCAGCAGTTTACAGAAAATGCGTCACGGCCAGAAGTTAGAAAACGTATGGATTCGTATTCAATACAAAAATCCATTGAACCTCCGAAGAAGAAACGGAAGATTTATAAACCAGAGCAGCGGGCGATGAACTGTATTAAGTTGATAGAGCGAGGACGCGAGAATTACAGGCGACATTTTTTGTTAAGTCTGTTACCGGATTTGGAAGAAATGAATATGGGCCAATTTCGAGTATTTAGACAAAGAGTGTGTCAATTAATAGATGCAATTGTCGAACCGCATACTGAAATTTCCCAAGCCAAAGACGCAACGCCATCTGGAGTATAACTGCATAGTGCTTCTTACATTAGGTACGTTGTAAAATTGTTTAGCGATAAAATTACCTTTGTTTAATTCATTTGTTTAAATAAATATTTTTGTAAATTATTATGTAAGTACAGTCACTTTCATAAGCACTAGGTATAATTAAATACAAAATGGTTACATAGCGCAATTGGTTATAGTTTTATAGTTGAATGGATTTCTTCCAAGTTTTATAGTAAGCAGTTGGGTTATATTTTGCTACCTACTTTGCGTATCTATCATAAATAACGGAGGTAAGTTTTCACCATTAATTGGTACAAAACTCTGCGTAATGTAAATTTTTATTCAAAAATACATCTCACGAAAGTGAACTTTGGTAAAAATTAATGACACACTTTCCCGTTCTCTTATTTTTGAGTAGGCGCGGTTTCAGCCAAGGCTGCTCTACCAACTGCAACTCAAAAGTGCGTTCTAATTACTTATTTCAATTAGGTACTTTAAGTGCTTGCAAAAAACGAAGACGGAGGAATGAAGAGATGGAAGAGCAATAGTATAAGGAAAAAGAAGCTGATGGAGACGATACTAAAACTAGAAGAAGAAAATGAAAAAAAGGAAGGGGAAAAGATAAGGAACAATATAGCGATAAAAGGAGTAAAGATGGAAAAGAAAGAGGAAACAGAGAGACATAACTGAAAGGAAATCTACAAGTAGAGGCGAACGTAAAAAAGTCGAGAACAAAAGTAGCGGGAAATAATGTAGTAAGGTCGCGGAACTAAAATGGCAAAAGAAGAGAAAAATTATGAGAGGTAGGTAAGGGAAAGTTAAGAAGAAGCAGGATATACATGGATACTGAGTTGATTTATGGAGAGTGGTGGAGCGGGAAAGAGGAAAGAGCATAACAGATGGGGATATTGCTATAAGAGATTAGTGGTGGTAGATGAAGAATACAGATGGAGTAACAAGAAACAGGGTCTTGCGAGCACAGTGAAAACGATAACAGGAGAGCAAAAGAGGAGGTTTGGATGAAGAATTTAACTAAAAAGAAGAGACAGAGAGAGAGGAGGAGGGGGAGAGGAGAAGAAACAGAATAACAGAAGAAAGAAGCAAAACGGAGAGAAAATGGGAACACAAATACAATGTTCCGGAATGTTGTGGGGATAGTTTGTAACATGTGATGCGAAGAAAAGATAGATGAAAGGTAGGAGGAGGGACTAATATTGAGGAGAGATTTAAATGCCATATAGAATGTCAAGAAATAAAGAATGCAACAAACAGGAAGAATTGTTACTGGAATTAAAAGAGAGGATGGAGAAAATTAAACAGAAATATGGATGGATATAGTTACGAACATTACACATACACGGGACGAAGAGGGAGGTCGGTAATTGATTACTACTAGTAACCCAAAAAATACTGGAATTAAGGAACAGAGAGAGAATTGGATTCTCAGTCGATGGAAATAACTCTAAAGAGAAGATGAAAGATCAAGAAATGGAAATATACAAAAACGGAGAGAGATACAGTCATGGACGAAAGATATGGTGAAGACGTATAGTAGGGGATTACATGGAAAAATAAACAAAAATAGGAGAAAGCACAGAGGAGTGGAAAAACACTTTATAAAGGTACTGCAAGGAAGTCAGGAGAAAGAGGGTGTGGTAGCGGAGGATGGAAGAGGTACAAGTTTCTATTACAAAAATTACTAATTTTAAATTAGTTGACATACACTTGACCCTTAAGGGATAGTTCTGTGATAATTTGCATAACATCACTAAATGGGCCCCTCCATATCAAGAATATTTTATATAAATCATTTTTGATATCCCAGCCAGTTTGCGTAATAGTTGACTGTCTCAAGATAAATGGGGCACCCTGTATATAAATTAGTAAAGTGACATTCAATTATAAGATTACGGAACTGGTAGTCGCAACACACAAAAGTAAATTTCCGCTAAACCCTCAGTTTTTCGTTTCGGTTACGAAGGTGCAGTTTAACCTCAATAAATCATCTCCTGAAACTGATATCTTTTCTAGGCAAAAATGCTTGCTTCAAAACTATCGTATACAACCCGCTATTTATCTTCGTTCGGTTCCGAATCCCTCGGACAACAACGAAGCTTATCCTTTATTAAATTAATGATTCTATAATTAGTTCGCGATAGTCGATAATTTTTTTATGATACGTTCTCTCGTAAATACTTCGGACCGGGCCCCCCATTGTTGCAACTTCGCGCGCTTTTTCTTTTCTTTTCTTTGTGTTTATTAGTTTATTACTAGTAATAATTCATTTATTGTTTACAGTTAAACAACGCAGCTCTCGGTAGTACCTGTATTTGAATGGGTAATCACTCAAAAACTTCGCTAATAATAAAAAATGTGGGCTACTATTTGAAAAACTTTTATAAGTATTTAAAAAAAACTGAAGAGATATCCGAATCTCCTTCAGTCTCCGTATATCGGCGAGGTAGATTTGAACGTTTGTGGTGCCTTTTTTGTTTTCCTTAAACAATAAGTTTAACTTCCCGAAGCGCATCATTCTAATTTTGCACATATATGAAAATTTCAAGTTTTTAAGACTTGAATAATTCTTTTCTGCACCCCTCTTGTTTTCCGAATTTAATTGACAAACACACATATACGTTTTCGTCTATCTCGTTGTTCATCTTTGAAACGGTGACCCTAAATCGCTATTGTATAAAACAGAATTACGAAATATCTCTCCTTTTTCTCTCCGTTACCTATTATGCTAAACGTCTTTCAGAGAGATCTGGTCACCCCATCCATTTTATCTATAGCAAATTAACTTACACTGAAGGAGAAATGTATGTACCATGACTGGTTAAATTCAGAGAACAAATAACAACTAAACGTTAAAGGCATTTAAATAGTTTAGATAAGTATTATACTTTTTAAATATTATAGTTTTTGTCCATCATAAGAAGTACAAAAATTAAATGAAGTGGACACAAGTACCTTTGTGATATTTAAATGTTTCTGTTTCTATATTTTACACAATTGTTTTGTCTCTGATAGCTTTACTTACAAAAAATAAACGTTTTGTGTAAACTTGTTAATTAACGAGTTTTATCCGTATGGGTATCCTCTTCAAAGCTGTCGTCTCTCTGCACCCTATCGTTATTGCATTAAAATTTTTTAATTTCGCGCACGTCTTGAACAGAAACATCAGAAATTTGTTTTGGAATTATTCAGAATTTAGTCGAAGCGTGGGTGTGCGTACCTATAAGTATAGGTAAAATCGGATATACCTAAATCAAAACAATGATTTCATACCATTCCAGATTTATTTATGGAACCGAATGTATGTAACATATTGCGTAATTACTACGTATAGGCTAACCTATCATTAGGAAACCTGCCCTTTTATTATACGAAACGTGTACAGCAAGTAATACAGGTGCAATTCTAATACCAGCACCCTAACACCAAATGTTTAAAGTAGAAACATATAACAAATCTACCTACTATTAATTTCTGTTAGTGAACCTAATGTTCAATTGTGGCGATACTGTGTTTTAATATTCATAAAACAGTTTCATTGTTTATATACAAAACTATAGGCTTGAATGATTCGTTTTGTAATCAATCATGCACTTGAGGGAGGATTTAATAAGTATACTGTGACGGTGGTAAAGTTGTTATGTCATTTTACACCCGAAATTGTGAGAAAGGACAGGTGCTCGCTTCTTTACCGTCAACATTTTTAATCCAATCAAAGGTAGTACTTATACGCGCAGGGATATAGTTAAATAATTGTCGCAAATTATAAGTTAATTTTCCAACTTTTGGGGTGCGATGCCATATGTGACCTATGCACAACACGTGACGGACACACTTCACTGACTTGCTGAATATGATATGCATGTCGAGGCATTATATATTCAGATTTACTTTTAAAGACGTAACTTTTTATGCTGTTGATCGGATACCTTTAGAATCATCGGAACAATATCTGCACTAATTTCGCTTTGATTGTCTATTTCCGTGCGTATAGGTACCAGTGACGTCTATTGCGTGCGTCCCTTATAAAAAATGTAATCTAATTGTAATTTTAAATTTCACCCATCCGCTGTATAGTCAGAAGTTATTAAACCGATCGTTCACAAAAGACGACAGCTTTAAAAAATAATCGTGCTTGAATGACTGTTAACTTTCATAAAAAATGTGCGGTTTATTGAAGCCTTATTTGCATTTTTTTTAAGTTGAATGAAATGTCATAATCGCATGAAGCCAATTTACATGCGTTGCAATTGAGTTTTCTTTTAGTTTGTGTTCTGCTCAGATCTATTGGATCATAGCATTAGCGATGTAAACAAAATAATAGTCACGATAGGTACCTATACCTACCTATTTACCTACTATTTATGTACATATAAGCGCAAATTATCATTTCAGAGATGTACGATTAGGGTCATACACTACAAAGTATGTTATAAATAAATAATGTCTGGGTGGTCACGTCGTGAAGCCTTAGACGCCATTTTGCTGGTCTCGTACTGCCACAAACAGTATGAATATTTAAGTATGAGAATTGCTGCACCGGTTATATCTATCTACCTTAACAAGCGTATACACTTTTTAGTACTTTTATTATCCTTAAAGTGTCTTTTCTTATTCAAACTGCGGTAGTATAGTGCGATATCGCTAATCTTGAAAGGCTCCGAGGACCAAAGATCACACAAGTTTCTCTAGGTAGTTTAAAGTTTGACGTACCTGTAAGGTAGGTATATTTCATTCTAAAATATCCTTAAAGAATATCGGAACTTACATGTTTATGTCAAAATAATAGTTGTCAATTCCAAGTTCTTGGCACAGTATCCTACTTTTATTATATTAAGTCTTTTAATTTTAATTGATAGGTATGCAGTTCCTAAACTCTATCGTTTTTGGACCAAAGAACATAACAAAGCACTTAGATTTAATTCGCGTAGTATTGATATTTCTACTACCTATAGCTAGTCAATATCAGAGTTTATATTAGCGTTTGCTTGAACAATATCATATATGCATGGAAACTATAAGGCAATTGCATGTCGTCGGTATATTGATAAGGCGA